AATTACAATGACTTACTATTGGTCATCATTTGCCTTTCCTTCCTCCTACTTTGCAGAGGTATTAGTTGATTACAATTTCAACTTCCTTTTTGACTGGTGTTCATATTTTTATTTTTATTCCACAGTGCCTTCTGCTATAACTTTCAAGTCATTTTTTGTTTCTGCTTTCAAAAGTAAGGAAGAGACTGGGTATTTTTTTTTTTTTTTTGTAAATTTACTAAATTTCTTTAATGTTTTTAATTCTAGTTATAAATAATTCAGGAAACAGTCTCCTGAATTTTCTCTGTACGGTCTTATATGCCCTTCTTTTTTCTATCTTAAGATTCTCCTTTCCTTCCTTCAAACTATGATCCTTTCTCTTTCTTCCTCTTTGTAGCCATTCAGCTGGAAGAATCTGCCTTCCTTGTGCTGTCAGTGACTCCCATTCTCTCTTCATCCCACTGTAATGGATTCCTGCTCTACCCTTCACCAGCTATTTCTGAAGTCAATATTGGCTTTATTGTTAGTAAATCCATGGAATTAGGGCTTGGCTGTTTGACAGAATGTGATTACAACACTAACTTTCTGTGGCTTTTATAATATGATAATCTCTTTATTCTCAGTTTCTTGGCATACCTTTTCAGTCTGCTTTTTGAAGATTTACTCCTTATGTTTTTATCTAACAGTTTTGTAGTTTTAGCTCCTACATTTAGGTCTGTTATCCAATTAGATCTAATTTGGGGGTATGGCATGAAGTAGGGGTCCTATTTTTTATATGGATATCTAGTTGTTGCAGCACCATTTGTAAAAGAGACTATTTATATTTAAGTCAATTGACCATAACTTATGTCTGGGCTCTCAATTCTATTTCATTGATTTTTATGTCTATCCATTATGCCTTTACCATGCAGTCTTGATTACTGTAGCTTTGTAATAAGTTTTGAAATGGGAACATGCCATTCCTCCAACTTTGTTCTTCTTTTTAAAGATTGTTCTGGCTATTCTTGGTTCCTTGCATTTCCATATGAATTTTAGGATCAGCTTGTTAATTTCCGCAAAAAAGTCAATAGGGGTTTTTGATAAAGATTTCCTTGAATCTCTAGATCAATTTGAGGATACTGTTATCTTAACAATATTAAGTCATCTTATCCATGAGCATTGGGTATCTTTCCATTTATTTAGATCTTTTAAATTTTTTTCAACAATATTTTGTAGTTTTCAGTGGACAAATCTTTTATTAACAAAATTGTTAGTTTATTCCTAATTATGTTATTCTTTTCAGTGTTACTTAAAATAGACTTGTTTTCTTAATTTCATTTCTGGATTGTTCATTGCCTATGTAAAGAAATACAACTGATTTTTGTATATTGATCTTGTGTCCTGCAGCCTTGGTAAACTCGTTTATTAGCTCCATTATTATTATTATTATTTTTTTGAGGATTCCTTAGGATTTTCTGTATATAGGCTTATGCCATCTGTGAACAGAGATTGTTTTAGTTCTTCCTTTTCAGTCTGGATGTTGTTTATTTCTTTTTGTAATGTAATCATCCTGGCTAGAACCTCAAGTATAGCGCTGAGTAGAAGTGGTGAGAGTGGACATCCTTGTTTTGTTCCTGATCTTAGGGTGATGCTTTTATTCTTTTACCATTAGATATGATACTTGCTGTGGGTTTTCCTAGTATGTTGAATATTTTTATCATTAAAGTCAGATTCTTCTGTCAAACTTTTTATTTGTTGAAATGATCATGTGGTTTTTGTCCTTTATTTTATTATTATGATATTACATTAAGTGACTTTCAGACATTAAGCCAGTCTTGCACCCTGGGATAAGTTCTACTTGATTGTTGTACATAAATTTTGCTCCTGTATTTGGCTTCTAAATTTTTTTTTGGACAGCTTTAATATCTGTATTGATTGATAAGGATATTTTTCTGTAGTTTTCTTATCTTGTGATGTTTTTGTCTGGTTTTGGAATCAGGACATTACTGGCTTCATAGAATGAATTAGGAAGTGTCCCTTTCTATGAATTGTTTTTGAAGAGTTTGTGAAGGAGTAGCAGTAACCGTTATTTAAATTTTTAGAATTCACTGTTTAAATCATGTGGGCATAGGCTTCTCTTTGCAGGAACATTTTAAAATAGTAATTTAGCCTCTTGTTAAAGAAAAAAAACGTTTTTCTATGCACAATACTTCTGACACCATATGTGTGGGGTTTTTCCCCCCTACCAACCAATTCTCCAACTTTTTGTACACCAAGTGCTGTTCTGACAGTACCCGAAATTAGCTTCAGACCTCAAAGGTTAAGGACGTAGTCCCACGAGACTGCCCTCAGTTCAGGTGCCAGTCGTATTTCTGATAAACTTGGCTGCAAATCATGGGTTTCCATGCCCATTCCTTGGGTGTGATAATTTGCTATAACAACTCAGGGTAACAGTTTACTTACAATACTGGCTTATGGGGGCACTTCTGAAAGTTTGTGGGAAAATAGAATGAAAAGATACACAACTCAGGGTAACAGTTTGCTTACAATACTGGCTTATGGGGGCACTTCTGAAAGTTTGTGGGAAAATAGAATGAAAAGATAATACAGATCTTTCTGTGAACTTTTTGAAGTACCCTCATATTATAAAGGATATTATAAAAATACAGATGAAGAGGTACATAGGACAAGGTCTGGAAGGGTCGTGAGCATAGAGGCTTCTATCCCTGTAGGGGTTGGGTATGCCGCCGTTCTGCAATATGGATGCATTCACCAACGTGAAAGCTTTCTAAACCCCATCAGTTAAGGTTTTTATGGAGGCTTTATTGTGTAGGCTTGGTAGATTAAATCATTGGCCATTGAAGATTAAGTCAGTCTGCAACTCCTAAAGTTCTGGGGTTGGGGATGAAATTTTCTCATCTTCTATTCATTCGAACCAGCCCACTCCAGGTGTTACCTCATAAGCATGAACTCAGGCATGGTTGAAAGGGGCTTATTATGAAGAATAAAAGATGCTCCTCTTTCCTCCTTCACTTAGGAAATTCCGAGGGGTTAAGGCACTTTGTGTCAAGAACCCAGGGCAGAGACCAAATTATGTATTTCTTACTGTGATATACGTAATATTATCTGTTCAGATTTTCTATTTCTTCCTGAATCAATTTTGGTAGTTTTTGTCTTTCTAGAAATTTATCCCTGTCATCTAAGTTGGCATACAATTGTTTATTGTATTCCCTCAAAATCCTTTTATTTCTTTGAAGTCCAAGTGATGCCCCATTTTTATTTCTGATTTTAATAATCCGAGTTTTATCTTTTGTTTCTTTCTTGGTCAGTCTAGCTACATGTTTATCAATTTTGTTAATCCTCTAAACTAATCAACTTTTGATTTTATTGATTTTTCTCGTTTTCTCTCATTTATTTTTGTTCTAATTTTATTTTTTTCCTCCTACTTTGGTTTTACTTTTTTTTTCTTCTATTTTTAAAGGTATGGAAGCTTAGATTATTGATTTGAAAACTTACTTTTTAAGTATAGGCATTTGAAGTTATAAATTTTCCTCTGAGCACTATCTTAGATGTATCCTGTATATTTTGGTGTGTTGTGTTTTCATTTTCATTCTTGGGGTATTTTCTAATTTTTCTTGTAGTTTCTGTTTTGTTTTCTAATGGATATTTTGATTATGTTCTTTCATTTTGGAATATTTGTGAATTTCCCCAATTTCTCTCTTTAATGAATTTCTAATTTATTTCATTGTAATAAGAAAATATACTTTGTATGATTTGAGTTCTTTCAAAATTATTGAGACTTGTGTGATGGCCCAACATATAGCCTATCCTTGATAATGTTCAGTGTGCACTTGAGAAGCATGTATGTTTTGGGGTGTGATGTTTTATTGATCCCTGCTTTTGGGGGGTGTAATGTTTTATTGATCCCTGCTTTTAGTCTTATGTCATCTGTATCACTAGTTCTAGAATGATCTTTCCAGAACACAAACATGCAGCTTACCTTCTGAAAATCATTAAAGGCTTTTCAGCACCCTTAACTCGAAACATTTAAAGTTATCTTTAAAATGACTTAAGGCTTTGCATGATTTGACCTCTGCTTTCCCTCACACACACCCCAAATTGTTACACTTCTTTCTTTTCCCTCGATACAATATTACTTTTAAATCTTAAGATGTTTTTCCTTCCGTGTGGAATATTCTACTGTGCCCTTCTGATTATTAGTTCTCACTCATCCTTAAGTGATACGTCTGGTAGAGAACCTGCTCTTACAGTCCACCACTGGGTTAAATGACTTTCCTTTTTGATTGCTTAGACCTGAACTTTTGTTTATTGTAAAACAGAGCAAACTTTTATTTCTTTATTCCATGTTTCTTGATTATTTCTGAATCGAATTGAGTGTGGTAGGGAAGAGGGAAGAATCAAGGATAATTCCCAAATTTCTGAGTTGAATATTTAGACAGTAAGGTGAAAGATGAAGAATAAGTTTGCAGGAATAAGTTTATGTATTCACTTTTGGAAATGTTGAGTTTCAGAAGTTTTGCAATATCTAAATGGAAATAAATGTACAAAAAGAATGTGTACATGTGGTTCTTAATTTCAGAAAATCTTTCATGTTGTATGTATGTCTTTCTCCTTTGCTAGACTGAGTTCTTGGCTTCTGGGATCCTGGCTTCTTTTGTTTTTCTGGTACTTGGTACATCCTAGTTTTGGTGCTCAAAAACTACTAGTTGAGTTGTAAATAACAATGTCCATATATTATATGTTATTTTAATATTATTGTAAATGTTTCACTTGGAAAGTATGCCCAGGGAGGGAATTTATGGTTGATGATAGAAAATTTTAGCTCAGGAAAAAATACTCTGGGCATTTTTTCCCTTTTTGCAAAAATTTATTAAGAAATTTTCATTTTAACAAACTCATATCTGATTTTGTGAATTCAACTATTTTTCTAACCTTTTTTTTAAAAAAGTTTGCTTTTTATTCTAAGTACTTTTGTATTTTTAATATGAAGGGAATTACGTTTTCTTCGGTCTTCTGTGCAGGACTATAATGATGAAATCAGGCAAGCCCAGCTCCAGGAATTAACATATTTGAATGGTGGTTCAGAAAGTGCAGATGTCCCAGTGGTTCGAGGGAAACCCACCTTGCGTACAAGAGGTGTACCAACCCCAGCAATAACGAGGTAAGTGTAATTAATTGACTCCTTTTTTTTTTTTTTTTTTTTTTGGTTAGGGTCTCATGGCAATAGTTTAAGTGTTTTTTTAGTAATAGCTGAAAAAGTTCTATCAATGTATCTGTGCAAATTAGTGGCTGATAACAATAGAAATTTATTTCCTCATAGTAATTGAAGCCAGATGTCCAAAATCAATATCACTAGGCCAAAGTCAAGGTGTTGGCAGGGCTGCACTCCCTCTGGAGGTTCTGGGGAAAATCTTTTCTTTGTCCCTTCTGGTTTCTGGTGACTGCCAGTATTCCTTGATTTGTGGCCACATCACTGTGATCTCTTCCTTCATTTTCACACTGTCTTCTCTTCTGTGTCTGATCTCCCTCTGCCTCCCCTTTATAAGGATACATGTGATTGTATTTAAGGCCCACATGGATGATCCAGGATAATCTTTCCATCTCAAGGTCCTTTAAAACATCTGCAAAGGCCCCTTTTCTAAATAAGGTAATGGACAACATAATTTTGGGTGTCCTAATATTATTTAGCATATTACATTTTCCATGTTAGTTTTGTCTTTATTATGATGAGAGCTTGTGCCTTTTCCCAAAATATGCCAAATATAGTAACAAACTTTTTCAGACATCTCCAAACTTGTCCTGACCCTACATTACCAGTTTATATGTTCGTTTGTACATGTATGAAGCATATAGTGTGTGTTCCTAATAGACTAGGTGCTTTATTGATGCCATAGCAGATACCTCCCAATCAAGGAATTATCTCTGTACCCCTTTGAAAATCAGACGTCTGTCTTTGGATCTCACCCAAAAAATGAACAGAAAATGCATATAGATAAGTAAAAGGAGAAAGACAGAACATTTGTATTCCAGCATTCCTTTCTTTTTACTTTTTAGTAATAGAGACAGAGGGATATCTCTATACCTGTGTGTGTGTGTATACATACATACATATATATATATACTTTCTTTTTGTATGTATATAACCTTACTAATGCAACTAAGGTTAGTATACAAAAAGTTTGTTAAAACATTTATTTGAGGGCCAGCCCGGTGGCGCACTGGAGAGTATGCCGCTTGGAAGTGCGGAGGCGCTCCCGCCGAGGGTTCGGATCCCATGTGGAGACCAGTTCCCACTCGCTGGCTGAGTGTGGTGCAGGTGCGACACCGAGGGTTGCGATCCCGTTGCCGGTCAGTAAAAAAGACAAAAAGGAAAAAAAAATAAAAAAGAGCAGTGTTTAAAAAAAAAAAAAATTTATTTGATATATATCTCTATGTCTTATCTATCTGTAATAAAAGTAACTCAGTGTTACTTATTTCACTTAAGATTAAATTGCTCTTACCTATATTCTAGTTGCAAAACCTAAGCACAGAATAAATATTCTTTGGCTAGAGAATATAGAGAATTGAACACATGCAATGCCATTGTTTAGGGGATGCTGTGTCCCTAAACCATATCTGCCATTTTTACTGAAGATAATTTCTAATTTTGTTGCCTGTTTTTTAATTGAGTTGGAAATGTTATAAACAGATGAGGAAAGGAAAAGCTTCGTTTCTTTTTTTGGAATATAGTACCTGGAGGAACATCTCCATCTTCCCAGATGAAAAATATTTCCTCTTGATTATAGCATTAATTACTATTTGTCATATAAAGCCATTTCATTGTCTTGATGGTTACTATTCTCTGATAGGATTGTTTTAAAACAATTTTAATTGTTAACAATTTTTAACATTTTAATTAAAATGTTTGCTTTTTAATTTGCTAATTTTTTAATTAACTATTTTAAACATTGGATGGTTTAGTGCTAGAGTCAAATGTCTTTATTTGCATACTTAAGGCCACCATATGGTTACTTGAAATCATAAGCAGCTCATATGCTGCACTGGGTAGAGCACTGCACACATACCCTAGTTTCTTTCCTCTATATGGTTATAGTCTTATTGGTGCCAAATCATTTAAATAGCCTGTTTTTCCATATTCCTAGAAGAGGCATTCAAAGCCCCTCTGCGTTTTTTCTCAAAACCTCTTTCCAGTTTAGTCTTTACTGATTATGTTGCTGTGTTTCCTGCACATTTTAACCAGCCCTGGGCTAGAAACTTTGTTTCCTAAAGCTTGTTGTCTTCGTTCATGTTGTTTCTTCTTCCACAATTCTGTGTTTCTGCCCTCTACCTCCCAACCTACTTTAAATCCTACTTTTCTTTACATCCTGTCTTAGTCTGTTTCTGTTACTTATAACAAAATACCTAAAACTGGGTGATTTATAAAGAAAAATGAAATGTATTGCTTACTGTTTCTGAGTCTGGGAAGTCCAAGGTCCATTTGGTGGTGGCAACAGTGACCCAGGGGTCTCACATTGCAAGATGGTGGAAGCAGAGAGAGCAGAGAGAGAGAGAGGCAGACTCTCCTCTTTTAAAGCCCTCAGAACAAGGCCCCTGACCACCATTTTTAATCTATTCACTACTGTACAGTCCTTCAATTCAATCACCTCTTCAAGATTCCACCTTTCAATTGCCAGAATAGGATTTCCCACCCTCTTAACAGTCACAGTGGAGGCTAAGTTTCTTTTTCTTTTTTTTTTTTTTCCTTTTTGTCTCTTTGTTCGTGTCCGGCAACGGATCACAACCCTCAGTGTCGCGCCCGTACCGGACCGGGACCGGCAACGGGATCGCAGCCCTCAGTGTTGCACCCGCACCCCGCTCAGCCACTGAGCGGGAACCGGTCTGTATGTGGGATCCGAACCCTCGGCGGGAGCGCTGCCGCGCTCCCAAGCGGCGCACTGTAGCAGTGCGCCACCGGGCCGGCCAAAGTTTCTAATACATAAAACTTGGGGGATACAATTCAAACTTCAGTGAGTTTGGAGGTGACATAGTTCAATCCACTACACATCCTAAACTGAAACTTCTTTTACCAAACACCTATATAGTGCCTACTGTTGATTAATGTTAAGGACTTTTCTAAGCACTTAACAGAGTATTAACTAAGTAAAGCCTCATAACAATTCTTTGATGTTGGCACTATTTTGTTAACATCACCATTTTACAGATGAGGAATGTGAAGCCAGAGAAGTACCGTCTGTTTGATCTTTCCCTTGTGTTTCATCCAGGATAGTTTTTTTTTCTTCTCTCCATTGCCCTACTCCAAGTCTCCCATAGAACTTTCATTCTAGCACTTTTATTATATTTTTATTATAGCATATAGTAGCACTTTTAATATAAGCTATGATAAAAAGGCTTTTATTTATTTACTACTTTTTCTCATGAACTCACGTGTTAACTTACCAAAGTAAAATGGTTTATCTAACAGAATAAACATAATAAAAAGTAAAAATTAATTGATGTGGCAGTTAAGGTAGGAAATTAAAATCCACAAGGGTAAAGTTAGTACACAAAGATGTACAGGTTAATAACATTCTTTACAGCTGATGAAGTTGGTCTTGAAATTATCTCTCAGTTTCCTAGTGGTCAAAGCTTAGGAAAACTTGGTTACAGAATTCAGTGTCTAAATGTCTAAAAATAGTAACAATACAAAAAAAAGAAAAACATACTCATTGAAGCCTAGTACTTTCTAGTTCTGAGACTTGGGAGAAATATCTCCAATGGATAGTCATATATTGGTCTTCATATGATGTAATAACATTTTTAATAACATTCCTTTTCACCATATTCAATTCCTCAGTAAGTCATTTTGATTATGCCTCTAAAATAAACCTCAAACCTGTTTTTTTAATCACCTCTGCTATTCTTCCTAATCTAATCTACACCACTAGTTTTTGTTTGCAGTCACAATAACCTTTTAAAGTTAGATTTGATTATATCTTTATGCCTCTAAAATAAACCTCAAACCTGTTTTTTTAATCACCTCTGCTATTCTTCCTAATCTAATCCACACCACTAGTTTTTGTTTGCAGTCACAATAACCTTTTAAAGTTAGATTTGATTATATCTTTCCCCTACTTAAAATCTTTCCATGACTTCCTTTGCAGCTGTAAGAAAATCCAGATTTCCTGATACACACTTGCATGATCTGGTACTCTGCTCGCCTTTCTGACTTCATCTCATTCCACTTTTCCATTTTCTTCATTCCAGCCATACTGGTCTCCTTTCTGTTCTTTTAACAGGCCAAGCTCATTTTTTTCCTACTCCTTTGCCTTCACTCCTCCCCCTCCTTGGGGTGCTTTGTCTCCAAGTGTCTGGCTACCTACTCCTCAGCATTGCATGCTCAACATATGCTGGCACCTTGTAACAGAAGCCTTTGCTGATCACCTGCTTTCAAGGAGCCATTCTCTAATCCAGATCTGGTTCATAACACTGTCCTGCTTACTTAGTAGCATTTATCAAGCTGAATTTACCTTGTTAGTTCACTATTTTAATTGGTTATTCCTCATTATAATGTAAGTTCATAAAAGTCCTGTGTCCCTAGTACCTGGCATATGCTAATCTCTCAGTAAATAACAAAGTGAATAAAGTACAAAAACACATTCTTTAAGCTCTCTCTGATCAAGTGTTGACCATTAAATATTCTTTTATTAATGTCGTTCTTATTTGTCAAATAACTGGACTGCGCGGGCATTAGCTTTCGGAATGGTCACATGGATATCGCCACTTTGGAATTTCACAGTGGAACAAGTTATTACTGGAATCTTCATGAATGTGCCCTGCTGTTATGACTTCAAGAGCCCTTTCTGCTACAGGACGTAAACAATCTAAAATTAAGTCCTCCAGTGAGAAGTAATAAATGTTTTAATAAAACCTTTTTATTTTAGTTTCAAATGAGAGAAATAAGATTATACTTTTTTAACTTAGGAGATAAGAAGTTTCTGCCATCTGTCCTGCACAGTGCATCTAAAAAGCATTGCTTTGAAAATGTTACCTTCCTAACTCCTTCCAAGGCCCAGGAAACCCCAGCAGAGAGAGAATTTGAGAAGCAACACTGATGTAGAATTGAGGCCCACCAGGCAACACACTTTTTGCTTAGTTTTATGTTTTTCTCAGTTGGTCTTTCTC